TTAAATTTCCCAATTAATTTTTTCTTTTACTATTTTATAGTTTTTATAACAGAAATAAGATAAACTTTTTTTTATGTGCCATTAATTTGACCTATTGAGCGTAACTAGCAGATGGCAGTCAGGGGTCCTGGTTTTGGGGACCTTGAGGTAGAATATAGGAGAGGCCATAGCACAGCCTGTACCCAACTGGTATGAGGCAGATTTGGGCAGCATTTGTCACCTATCCCTGCAGTGGCCTACCAATGCATTTACATGTAAATCTGCTCCTGCCCACATGAGCTGGTGTTACAGGAGCCTAATGCCTACAGGATCATATTATTGGAACGTTAGGTTATGCAGGTGCATGGCATTTCTGGTTGCTAAACCAGTGCTTCCTCATCCCTCTGCTGGAGCCTGGTTGCCGAAAGTTAAAGGGGCTTAATATTGCTCACTCATGGTCATCAGGAAGCCACCAGCTTTCCTAATAAGGAGATGTCACTGTGCAGGCTCCAGGCCTTCCACTCAGGGCCAGAATGAGATATGCACATGGAAATTCATAGCCACTGATTGTATTTATTTTCTGCACTCTGTTCTGACCGTGTCTGTTGTTGGACTAGTTCTTCTAATGGGAAGAGAGAGCTGTGTTCCAGGCTGTGGCCTTGTCCAGGTGTCCACAGAACCCTAGCTCAGCTCACCTTGTGGTGAGATTTCATGGATTTTGCCAAGTCGGGTGCCCACAGTCGGGACAGGCATGGGTGTGTGTGTCTCATCATCCCACAGCCCTGCGGTATCTCCCGTGTCTGTGTTGAGAGTGCCCGGGTCCCCATTAGAGGGTCTATGTGCAGAGTATGACTGGACAACAGGGCCCTACCATGGGTAGCCACATGTCTTGACTCAGAGGCTCCCCAAGTCATTTTTTAAAAATGTGTTTTTACTGATTTCAGAGAGGAAGGGAGAGGGAGAGGGGGAGAGAGAGAGAAGCATCAGTGATGAGAGAGAATCATTGATCGGCTGCCTTCTGTATGCCCCATACTGGGGATCGAATGCTGACCGGGAATTGAACTGTGACCTCCTGGTTCATAGGTTGAAGCTCAACCACTGAGCCATGCTGGCTGGGCTCCCTAAGTCTTTTTACCTAGCTTCCTGGCTTGCTAACAAAATTTGTATAATTCTGTTATTGTTGTGTTATTCTGAGTTCCAGCTGGCTGTTCCTCCAGGTTCGGCTGAGTTGTTTTTCTTCCTTGACTCTTGGCTTCTGCAGAATGAGTCCCTTTCTCCTTCCCTGTCACTCTCCTTCCCTCTAGCCCTTTGTTTTCTCTACACCCAGAACCCATTCTCCTCAAGGGCTTGCGTCCACCTGCAATTTATGCACTCATTCAAGTCATCACATAAGCCTAATTCTTATTGGGCCTCAGCTCCTTTGGCCAAAAGCACTAAACTGCACTGTGAGACAGATGGCAGTCAGGGAGGAACTGGTCACTGCCCACCCGCAGATAATATCTGTTCTTCCCATAAGGAGGCAGAAAACATTCAACTAGCACATCTGTGACCGCTGCCAGCCCTAACCCATAATGCACAGTAAACAAGCAAGGTAACACTCAAAATATAATCCTTTGTTGGTGGTTGTGGGGGAGGCAGCTAAAAGCTTAGGCCTTTGAAGGATATCATTAAGAAATTCTTCCTCATACTTAATCAGAATGACCTTGGCCTTGATTTAAGCTTATGTATTCTGATTTTGTCCAGATAGAGACCTATTCTTTTCTCTCCATATGATATTTTTAATAATGCATTTTAAATAAAATTTTATTTTACATAAAAATAAAACTTAAAGCATTTCCTATGTAAGATAATTGTAATAATACATATTTCATATTTGTAAAAAGATTATATTGCATAATTTAATAGAACTCATGTTCTATATTTAAATTTTTTTTAAAATATATTTTATTGATTTTTTACAGAGAAGAAAGGAGAGGGATAGAGAGTCAGAAACATCGATGAGAGAGAAACATCGATCAGCTGCCTCCTGCACACCCCCCAGTGGGGGAGTGCCCACAACCAAGGTACATGCCCTTGACCGGAATCGAACCTGGGACCCTTGAGTCCGCAGGCCGATGCTCTATCCACTGAGCCAAACCGGTTCGGCTATATTTAAATATTTTAAATATACTGTATAAGTAACATATTTGTATATATATAAAATATTAAATGAGGTATTTTATATTTTAAACATAAAATATAGGCTATTTAAAATGTTTCAATAAATCAATATTTAAATCATTGCTGATGGTTTATACTAAAATTAAGTAAATCAACTTAGCTATTTAATAATTGTATATAAAATATTGAAATATATAGAATATGTTGTTTTGCATAAATAAAAAGTGTTATAAAATATTTAATTGTAATAAGGATATCTGATTCGGTCTGGTTCCCATTCCAAGAATTAACAGTTGGGGGCATAGCACCCCCTACCACTCTCTGCTCCCTCTGCATCCAGCGCCCTGATCCGCTGTTTTTCCTCCTGCCCGCAGGCATAGGCAAGAATGTCATCTGCGACCGCACAGCCACGCCGCTGGACGCCTTCCGCATGATGTCGGCCGCCCACTACTACCCCAAGCTCATGAGCATCATGGGCAACGTGCTGCGCTTCCTGCCGGCCTTCGTGCGCATGAAGCAGCTCATCGAGGAGGGCTACGTGGGCGAGTTGCTGGTGTGCGAAGTGCAGGTGCACAGCGGCAGCCTGCTGGGCAAGAAGTACAACTGGAGCTGCGACGACCTGATGGGCGGAGGCGGCCTGCACTCGGTGGGCACGTACATCATCGACCTGCTCACCTTCCTCACTGGCCAGAAGGCCCTCAAGGTCCACGGGCTGCTCAAGACCTTCGTGAAGCAGACCGACCACATCAAGGGCATCCGCCAGATCACCAGCGATGACTTCTGCACCTTCCAGATGGTGCTGGAGGGCGGGGTGTGCTGCACCGTCACCCTGAACTTCAACGTGCCCGGAGAGTTCAAGCAGGACGTGACCGTGGTGGGCTCTGCCGGGCGCCTGCTGGCGGTGGGCACGGACCTGTACGGGCAGCGCAATAGCGCCCCGGAGCAGGAGCTGCTGCTGCAGGACTCCACACCTGTCCGCAACTCCCTGCTGCCGGAGAAGGCCTTCAGCGACATCCCCTCGCCCTACCTGCGGGGCACCATCAAGATGATGCAGGCCGTGCGCCAGGCCTTCCAGGACCAGGACGACCGGCGCACGTGGGATGGCCGGCCGCTCACCATGGCTGCCACCTTCGACGACTGCCTGTACGCCCTGTGCGTGGTAGACACCATCAAGAGGTCCAGCCAGACGGGCGAGTGGCAGAACATTGCCGTCATGACAGAGGAGCCGGAGCTGAGCCCCGCCTACCTGATCAGCGAGGCCATGCGCAGGAGCAGGATGTCCTTGTACTGTTAGCGCAGACTGGGGACCTAGGGGACTTAGGCCTTCTGCGCGGGGCCCAGAGGGAAAGGTGTGGGAGAGAGGTAGCGTCCAGGAGTGTGGGGATGGGGAGGTGGAGGGACAGTGGGAATAGGTGGTATCTGAGAAGGTGAACCGCAGCCCAGGTGAGGGGCCCAAACAAGACTGTCAGGATGCTGAGTAAATAGCCCGGGAGTGTTCAGAGGGCCTGCCTTTCCTGAGATCATCCCTGCTGGGCACTTGCATGAGAGGGAGGAGATTTAGCTGCCTCTGCTGCCCTTTTCTGTGAGGAGCAAGGAGGGATGCCTTTCCCCTTCACCTCATCCACTCCCCATACCTTGGCCTCCTTTGCAAGCCAAATGCTCCGGTGAGGTCAAGCTCAGTTGGTGTGGCCTCCCTAGTCTGCCCCCCACAAAAAATCTCGCAGGAGAAGGCACATCCTCCCATATCCACACAAGCCTGTTGGCTTGGGGAAAGGTGGGGGTGCAATGGGCTACTGAGAAAGTTCAAATTCTAGGAAGCCACTTTAAGTGTCTGGAGGCAAAAGTACTTGGAAACAAAGTGTACAGCTTTCTTGATTGATTGGTCTTCCTCATAGGAAGCAGGAGGGAGTGTCTTCCCAATTGGCCCACTGCCCTTCACTTGGCCTGAGGTGGGGTAAGGGAGTGCTGGGAATGCCAGCAGAGACAGGGCTTCTTTAAGCCAAAATGAGAGAGCAAGTACATACTCTGCATGGAAAACAGACGGGGCAGAGAATAGCATATCCCTTTGAACTCGTCAGCAATTAAAAAACTGCAAGAAGCCATCTTATAACACTACTTCTGGTGGAGAGTTGAGTGTAAGAGGGATTCCATGCTGAAGGATCGAGGTTGTCCTTTCACCTGGCTCCCCAGTTAAGGCCAAGGAGACAGGAGGAGGTTTGGGCCTGACTGCAAGCTTATAGCTGCCCTCAAGAGGTGGGGCAGCTGCGTGCCCCAGTGTTGCACTGGGGGTTCCCCCCAGAAGGGAAAGGGAGCCAGCCCTGGATTTGTGTTCCAACACCCATGCCTCCTACAAGCCAGGGAAGGGCTTTTAGGAGTTTCACGCAGCTCTGTGGATGGATGTAAAAGGCAAGTCTTCAGTTCCACTCAGATATAATCCACTTCCCCTAAAAAGAAGTAAAGGCTCTTTTCTCTAGCTTTGACCTTTGTTTTCATGATTCTGGTACCGCCCCCTCCCACCCCCCTCCCAAATGTAATAGGTGTTAAACAAAAGGACAACAAGGAACATAAGTTTCAATGTTTCTAAAATGGGGTTTAGAGGCCTCTCAGGTGTATCTTCATGGAGGATTGAGAAGCTGATGTTGGAAAAAACATATTCTTCTACTCCTTGGTCTCTTGTCTCTCTTGTCACCCTCTACTTACAGAGCTTTCACTGGAGATGGCGAACTGCAGGCTCAGAACAGGCAGCCAAAAGGGAACAACCTGACACACACACATATGGGCTTGTCAATGCTCACTGCCACCCAATGTCACTGAAATCGCTCTTAAAAACTCAGGACAAGTCTTGAAAGAAAGGCCAAGTCAAATACATTTTGAAAACAGAATTACCCTTTTATCTTTTCTTAGTCCTTCATCCCATCAAGGCATTTGTCAAGGTTGGATGAAGAAACTAGGACTTGTTCACAGCTCACAACTGAGGCTCAGGCTTCTCTTCCTATGCCTGGCAGTAGAGCTAGAAGGGAACTTAAGGGGTCAAGAGCTCACTCCCAGGCTCTGCCAAGGCGGAATCTGAAAACAGTGTCATCAGTTGCAGCCTCCATGCTTCTCCCAGGTCAATCTGTGCAGCCCAGGCTGCCCATGGGTGTGGTGTGGCTGTGTAAGCATCATGGGGATCGTGGTCATTTTCTAGCTCAGAGGAGCAAGGACTGCCTCCCTGGAAACATCACTCTACTTTGGGGGCCTTACCACAACACAGTCAGGTTAGTCAGCTAAAACTCTCCAGGTACCTTCTAGTCCCTGATGTGTTTTCAGACTTCACGATGATGTGTTCAAAACTAGAGATTTGGTAGAATGGAAGTCTCGCAGTAATAATTTGAGCAGAGGGCCATGCCATGGGCTGTTTTGGTTCAGGTTCTCCTAAATTGCCCTCTGGACAGCTTTTGTGGAAACTGAATGGAACTTTTTGTGTGTGGTTTTTTCCCCCTGTATTTTTTGTTGTTGTTGTTTTGTTTTTGTTTTTTGGGGGTGGGGGGTGGGGGAGTGGTGGTGTCCTAGCGAGCCTGAAAGGCTGTGATTAAGGATGAAGGAAAAGGAAACTAAATGACTCTATGGGCCTCATTTTTCTAAGTCATTTATAATCTAGGGATTTTCCTGGGGTTTTAAGTTTCTGTACTTACCAAATTACTTGGGAATTATTTGCCCCTGAAGGTGTCTGAACTCTGCAAAAAAATATTCAGTGTCTAAAACAAAAATTCTTTGAGGCTAGGGTATATAGAAAGAATATACTTTTTAAAAGCATGAAAAATATTTTAGTAAATGTAGTCAAATGTTACCTACTGACATGCATGTAGTAGGTAAATGCAGGAATGAGAGAAAGAAAGGACTGAGATAGTTAATTTTTTTAAATATAAAAATTGTAGTAAATGGGGTTAAGCTGCTTCTTTAGTGCTCCTTTTGCGCCTGTCCTACCACTAGCAGAGACTTAATTGCACTATGAAGCTAAAATCTCAAGCTTTCAACAGAGCTTGCTGAAACAAAGCCCAGCACGAACAGCACCCTTGGGGGTCTGGGTACTATCAGCTGACTTTGACCCCGGACAAGTCCCAGCAATAATCCAGCTCTTTCCACTTTTTTAGTGTTTCAAGGAGCTGGTGTAATAGGGGCACCACTTCAGGGTCATCACATTTAGTCCCATCCTTGTGTGGATGCCTCTGCTACTGGAAGTTTTGGCTCATGCCACCGGTTGCCTCTGCTGATGTCTCAAATTCCAAATTCTGAGAGGGGGGTAGGCCAGGGGTTCCTACATGGCATCCACAGTGTGTGGACATGCTCTGGGCTTGTCCGATTCTTTCTGTTTTCCTCTGGAGAGAGAGTCCATGACCACTCTCAGCTTCTTCACGACTCTCCCTGTAATGGGAGAGGTGGAGCAGGATCCACAGAAACTCCTTAGCCTACCTGGCAGCAAATACCGTTGTGTCGGTGTATCTGTTCCCTGGAGGTAGTCTTGGCCAAGTCCAGCTCATGACGAACTTCTCCCAGAGCCTTTTTCCTCTGCAGAGCCAACGAGTACTTCCTGTGCTCCGCCATTTCTTGATATCCATTGTGTGCAGGGATTTTAAGTTCATTATCTCATTTAGTCCACAAAAACAACCCTTTAGTATTGGGGATTGTTACTCCCACGTTACATGAGGTAATCAAGGCTCTGAAAGAAAGAGGAACTTGCCAGAGTCACACAACTATGAAGCAGAGACAGGGTGACCCCGTGGTTTTACTGTCAGCCCTGGCCGCCCGCCCAGGCAAGCTTGTAATTGCCACACTAGGCATAGGGCCACCCCCCAGGACATGGTCTTGTTATTCCTCTGCTCACTGCTGGTGTAAACAAAAAAGGGCGCAAGAGTCAAGATGCAACAGTGCGACACTTTAGTAGCCTGAGAGCCAGACACTTCAGTGGTCCTCCCAAGGGCTCCAGAAACAGGGACTGTGATGTGGGGAAGGAAAAGGTTGGTAGGCCCCCACTTCCCACTGTTAACTAATATGGTCACTCAGATATGGTACTGGCTGCACCTCCAGACTCCAATGAGAGCACTTGAGCCCATCACCTCTTAAAGCAGCATTGGGGTGGGGGAGGAGGGAGCTTCACTTGTCCCCGAAGCTGGACTCAGGGCTGTCCCCTGAAACCCAGCGTTCCCACCTGCACACTTGCCCGCTAGGGAGGGAATGCCTGCTGCTGGTAAAGACAAAGCCACAGAGCAGACGCAGACAGCTTTCCTTCCGTTGTCCTCCTCCCTGTTCTCAAAAGGGAATTGAATGCGGGGCTTTGATCATTTTTTTAATCATGAGCTCTCCAATGTCATGGCCTCTGTTCCATAAACTTCAGGACTTTGATGGCCAATAAACGTGGGCAGTGGGTGGAACAGGAGTCCTAAGCCAGATCTGTATCTAGGAGAGGGGTGTGTGTTGGGGGGGAGGGAGGTGGGTGTTATTAGAACTGGCCTCAGGAAATCCCAAAGGCCCACATCTGGATTTATGTCTCCAGCCTTGCCAAGTACCATACAAATTAGAGATAACTGATCACATTATAGTCACAGTGGGAAACCTTAAACAGCTAGTTTTTATGAGTACCTTCAAGACATAAATGAGTTTCTAGAAAATTGATTCAGCTGCAACAACTCAGGAAATACAGTCCATTTGCAGGTCTGAGTTCTAATTGCAACTCTTCCACTAAGTAGCCATGGGACCTCAGACAAGTCATTTCATCTCTCTGAGCCTCCCTCTCCCCACCTGAGAGCTATGAAGGTGTTGTGTGCAGCAGGATGTGACTTAGACAGAAAACGTGGCTTCTAGTCCTGGGTCTACCACTAAAAATCAGTGTGGCCATCACTTAACCTCTGGGGGACAGGAGATAAAGTCCCTGCAGATGCAACTGCATTTACTTTCACCGAGGATGTCACTAGAATGCCGAATCCCACCCAACCCCCACCTCCAGAATAAAGACAATGGAATCAGAAACCTAATTTACAACCACAGGTCAAATTCAACAGCTGTGGCTATGAGACAGGGTGAGAGTTAAGAGGGTATAAAGGTAAAAATGCAATGCACTGCTAAATTTTGAGTCACAAAAAAATGAACTTAGAAAGCCCACTCCCTAAGAAAAGACATTTTCCTATGTTATACTCAACCACCGGGAGCAAACTCCAAGGCCATCTATAATAATCGGCCAATGACATTTTGAAAATCCCAACTCTGGTTTGCTGCATCACCTACAATCAGAATCGACTTAGAAAGTCAATTTTAAAAGAAGCTGAGTATATATGTATGTATATGTATAAAACCAAACTTATGTATAAAAAGTCAAGGCATGTATACTAGATATTTTAAAGAATTATTTATCAAGGGAAAAAGATGTGTGTTATAAAGTAAACAGAGTCTATATTTTCTATATAATGTAGATAGCAAAAATAGCTTATAAATTATAGGTTTTTGTTTTCTTTTTTTGTTATTAAAGAAATAAAAAGGACAAAGAATGCAACTGTTCTTCATGTTTTATTGGCCAAACTACTGTGGGAGGTGGCCTCCCCTCCAGGCCCAGGGGCTGATGCCCACTGTTACCTCTGCTAACGTGGGGCCATGGTTAGCATCACTCAGTCAGCTGGCACATGCCACTTCACACGTGGATGACCTCCTGCTGTCCTCCACAATTTGCATTGATGGATAAAGGAATGACAGTAGCAAATAAAGACTGAAGAGAAGAACAATTCCAGCTGTTTTTCTGTTTATTAGATCCAAGTACTCTAGCTCATGAGTTAGCTACGTGGCCAGTCTGTGGAAAGTGAAGCAAGAAAGGGGTTGGGAACAACGGTGGTGCATCCAGGGAGAGAGATTGTGTGTGTGTGTGTGTGTGTGTGTGAGAGAGAGAGAGAGAGAGAGCCTACTAGTCAAGATAACAAGAGGACAACAAATATTTTAGGTTGGAGAGCAAATTTTAGAATTCCCTATTAATTTACTATCTTAACCTAATACCTAACATCAAGCTCTGAAAGACACATTCTAACAGGCTCAGATGACTATTTACACTGAATACTGCTTGCTTTGTTCTTAGCAGTATTCAATGGCAAGCATCTTGAACTGAGCTCAGCCTAATTTCCAATCTGCATGACATGGACAGGCTACCTCTCCTTCCCACCCCGTGCTGTTTTAGAGAACACACAGAGGTAATTCTTCTGGTCATGCTTTCTCTTCATTTAAAACAGTTAAAAATGAGAAAGAATAATACAAGAGCTGAGATCTTGTTATTCATTCCTTCAGGAGCAGATTCTGATGCTAATGCATTCAGAACAGCCATCCAGTGAGATAGTAAATTGCAGCCAATCCCTGCGTTCATATGGATTATTGTAGTGCACACATAACATTCCCACCTCATGATGCTGTGTAAACACCTTATGATACTGTCATAAATCTAAGAGCAGATCTGAAGAAGGAAGTGAGAGGAGAGAGTGCACTTTGTCAAAGCTGAGAGTGCCAAGGTGTGGTTGCAGGGGGCCCAGTCCTCTGCCTGGGAACCCGGCCCCGATGAAAGACTCTGCTCTCCAGCGCTTTTATGTATGTTTTAAATCCAGGGGCTAGTTGCTTCTTCATGGATTTGGAATCTCTTTTTGATGTTGGTTTCTCTCATGTTAAACCCGTTTCTTGTTTTGTAAACCAGGGATTATACTGCCTCCTACTAAATCACAGGAGATGATCAGTTTTGCTTTCTTGGTCTCTGAAGTGTTGCTTAAAAAGAACAGATGCAATGAAGTCATTCAGGTTGTTGTTTACCAGTCAAACAAAGAAAAATCTTTATCTTCCTATGCTCACTACCTCTTCCCCCTGCCCCCAGCACAGATAATCTCCTGCTTCGGTTATCTTGGGCATTTGTAGCTCCTGTCGTGACAAGATAGGGTGATTCAATCTCCAAAAATAAAATTATTGCTATAATTGTTATGAGAATGAATTACACATAGAGTTGCAGAATTTTGTATAGACATGAAAAAAATATATACGTTCACCTCAAAGTAGTAGGCTACAGAGTTAATAAAATGGGAATTTGATTAACCCATATTTACCCTCAGCTTGCCTACACAGAACAGATCCCTGTGCTAGTGTTCCTAGGCAGCCCCGACATGCACTCAGCTGTAGCAGTGCCCCCTGCTGGAAGGCTGTCCAAGAAGTGTACACAACAGAAATGGAAAAAGACACCTGCTTACGGACTCTGAGCCAAGTCACAACCAGGTAAATGGCATTACAGATTAAGCCAAACTCTCTCTCTAAAAAAAAAAAAAAAGCTGATGCAAAACATTCAAAATCCTTTGCTTTGTTCATCCAAGTGCAGGCTTCCTCTGAAATCCTATCTCTGAGTCTGTCTGCAGGGTAAATTCCTGTGAGGACTTGAGCTTTTGTAGCATTGCTGGAGTCCAACAACAGCTCTGCAAGATGAGCTCACCGTATCTAAGTTGGTTTTTGGACTTCCTCTAAAAAACCTGATTATGGGAACACCGTTCTCACCTAATTTTACACAAATTCTGCTGATTTTACAGATTCTGATTGCCTTGGGTCAAACCAAACTCTTTCCCTTTAGCCATGAGTGAAACTTATTGTGCAAGTATAGATTAATTCATTTCTTGGTCAATTATTTGTACATTGATGGGGCTCAATCCCAGAATTACGGTCTGGAGCTCACATGTATGTAAGCCCCATTGGCCACCAGTGCCTTGGAAGAAGAACACCTGGGAAGGAGGAACTCTAGGAGGGCCTTGAGTGGCTGCAGAGGATGTGAAGACCATGTCCACAAAGCCCACAGGTTTCAGGCAGTCCTCAGTCTTGAACTCTCCCAGGCCACTAACTCACTCCCAGGGGTCTAAATCAGGCTGAAGTCAGACCAGTGCTGCATGAGGCTGACTTGGAGTGATGAATCACTCCAGACTCCTCAAAGTCCAAGACCAAGAAGGTATAGCCAGTGAGACTAAAGGGAGGGAACAAGATAAGAGTCCCCACTGTCTTTTCAGGCCTTCTGAGGCAGCTTGTTGGGATGTGGGGGCTAACAGGTGAGCCTGGAGAAGCCAGTCACTCTTCAGTGTGTCAGGCTAAGGGACCTGGACTTGACATTCAACTTCCTGCCATGAAGGCCAAGAGAGTTAGCTTGAGAAGCACAGCTGTGTATCATGGGCTGTGGAGTGCTAAAACTACATGCAGCACCGAAAGCCAGAAGGAGAGAAGGGATGGGGATAAAAAAGAGAAGGACCTAGGAGTAAAGGGTGGGGGCGGGGGGGGGGCGCGGGCAGCAAGAGGATAGAGGGTGGGAGCAAAAGTGGTAGTTTATGCCAAGGGTAAATATAGATGAAGGGGAAAACAGGTGAAAAGGTCAGAGCTATACATTTGAGAAGCGGAAGGTTCTGAAGATCAGTAAATGTTACATAAGATATCTGAAATGTGGTCCCACTGTGTCTGACAGTCCTATCTGTGCTCTAAGAACAGCTTGTGTGAGGAGGAGGAGATCAGATGGGAAGGAATGAGGGAGGAATTCTTACAGGAACTTCAAAAAGCCTGTCTGATTCACTGCTAAAGCTATTCGAAGCTATCAAACTGTTTGCATTTGCTAGAAAAGTGTTAATACAAAAAATGGTGTTACCTGAGCACCTGACCCCAAGGGCACCTGGGACCCCATCCTCCTTGTTGCTTTCTTATTTGCAGTTCCCTCAAACCTGAAGTCCTCAAGGCCATTAGTATATTCCTGGGGCCATTGTACAAACTCTGCACTCAGGAATCAGACATTTAGCCGTTTCTTGCACACACAGGGTCTCTTACCCCGCCTCGGCTTTCAGAGGCCCTGTTCTCCGGCCCTCGCTGCATCTCCTCTCTCCTCTTTCACCTGAGCGTTTCTAAAGACAATCCCAGGAGGAGCAGGCCAGGCCAGCAGGGTTGGTGCTCACCAGCTACAGCTGGCCCTGGCCTCTGCCTCTAGCTGGCTCTTGGACTTGCTGGCTCAGTCCTCAGGTCAATCCTGGATCTTCTCTCTCTTTGTAAAGCCCCGCAGGTAACTGAGCTGTAGCTCCTCACCCAACCCCCATCTTCTGCCTCGGGCAGCAGCCTGACATTTAGGGGACACCTCCTCTCATTTGCCTCTTTGCCACCCTTCGAAGCCCTCTCATTCTGGGGAATCTGAAAGCAAAATGACGATTTGTATTTCTTTATGGAAACAACGGATCTCCTTTCCACGGGTGGCAGTTTACAGTGTTAGTGGCATGAAAGGGTTCTTCCCTAATCCTGTCAGCAGTGGCAGGCAGCTGGCATCACCACTGACAGCCCTAGTGTGGCTGAGGACAGAATCCTTTTCAGCCCTGGAATGCCTTTCATCCTCGGTGTTGAAAGCTTTGCGGAAATTAGGCCAGAGCCTGTGCAACAATGCAAGCCTGGTCACAAACAACCAGAAAGTCTGGGCGAAAGGCTCCTTGTACTTTCTGGAACCGGTGTTTCGGCGTCCTTGACCCAGCTAGAAGGCTTGGAGAAAGTCTTTTCACAGGGACATGCTCAGGTGAGTGAGATCCCCTGGAAGTCAGGCCGTATGGTAAGTCTGTAAGGTCTGATGTACTCCACTGATTCACGGACTCTGGAGGGGCTCAGATCTGAGGGAACACAAGCTGGTCCAGAAAGCAGCATTGTAAAACCTTCCGCCCCACGCAGGTCTTCCCCGAGCCTCGTCCATCCGTGTCACAGAGAAGTCCTCGGGAAGTATTGCCTTGGCTATGGCAGACTGAGGGCACCGTCCCTTCCGTAACCTGGAAAAGTTACTATGTACCCAAATTCTTGTCTCCAAATTATATTAAGGAATCACTTATAATCTCAATTTTAAGTCTCGACACCGTCGATGTTCAAGCAGCTTGACTCCCTGGGTGTGTCCAAGCCTTAGCAGTGGGGTCCTGCAGGTGAGGTGATGGTGGAGATCAGTTTCCCAATGTCGTGTCACTCCCTAAAGTGTTATCCCACGTCATTGCAGACACCAACCGGTCATGGAAGGAGTCTTTGGTTTGGGAAGAAATGACTATGAATTTATCTCATTAGTTCATCGGTGATTTTTTTCCAATATTCTACTTCCCACATCGTCACTAACAGCACTTCTCTGGAGTGTCTCACTGTATACCCCTCTCCCTCTGCCCTGTTTGTGCATTCGTGAACTCAATTACACTGTCCCCTCCATTGGATTTTTATCTGCTCACACACAATTCCTTTGAGCCATTGTGGCCTTGCCTGGCCCAAGCATGGTTCAATTCAAGACATGGAATCCAGAAGCGGCAGTGCCCTGGCTGCTATATTCAGAGAACTGTGGGCTGCCATACCAATTGTATATTCAATTCACTGCTGCCTTTCCTCTGAAATCAGGGTGTCCTCAGACCTCATTTTGTGACTGACATCCTGGCAATGACCCTATAAGGTCAAGTAAAGCAGTCAGGACAAGCCCTATGGAGGCCACAACGGGTCCCACGTTCCTGGCAGGCT